AAATTTGAAAACCATGGTTTCTGTCCTCAATTCAAACAAGATGTCAAGATAATAGATTCATGATTTTATATGCTAAGTTGATTAATGATACTATTCTGGCTATCTCAATAGATTTATAATTATGAGCGTTCATAGAACATATTCAACTAATGTTTGCTGATGATAAAATGTTATTTCAAATTTAGTCTTTTATTATATATTAATAAAAATGAGCACATAAAATATTTTATTCTATATATGTGTGCACATATATTGTAATTTACATGTGAAAGAGTTGGAAAACACATATCTATTTTAAATAATTCTCTGAAGTAGGTAACAATTAACATTTAAAAAGCATTATGAATATAGAGGTGCAAGTAATGAAATCCCTTAAGAAAAAGAGAAAAATTAAATTGTGAAATGGTGATCTCTACTAGTGATAAGTGGCAGAGTCTTCAAAGCAATGTAAGAATCGGTGAGAATCAGAATCATTCTTTACTATAAGCACTATCAAGCTTTGCTACTCAGACAAAGCATGGGAACTGACAGGGGTGAGAGCATGCAGGAAAACTGATTTCATTTCCATCTACAATTGACTTTTTTAGAGTATATATGATAAGGCCAATGTATTAGGTAAGTACTCTTTAATGCGTAAGTTGGTTTTATAAGTCCGTGAACATGTAAAGGAGAAGGTTGTGATCCCTAGGCCAGTTCCAAATGTATATATGTGTGTATGTATAAGTGTGCCTATATTTATCTATGTGTTTTTAAACATAATTCATGAAAAAAATGTATATGACATCAATATTATCCATCTCTCCATCCATCTATCCATCCACCCATCTATCTACCTACCTATCCATCCATTCACATATATCTGTATTTTTAGATGTACAGTTCAAGTTAATAATATGTTGAGTTCTAAAATTGTATTCTTAATGATATAACATTTTTATATCACATGGTTTCATTTATATATGGAACCTAAAAAATCAAAACTAATGAACAAACAAAATAAAAACAAACTCATAAAAACAGAGACCAAAGAAATGGTTGTCAGAGAGGAGGAGTTTGGGGCTATGCGTAAAAAGGTTAAGAGAAACATACTCAGTAATATTAGTGTGGTGAACACATTGCAAAATATAAAAATATCAAATCAGAGGTGCAAATTAAAACCACAATGAGATATTACCTCACATCTGTCTGAATTGCCATCATTCATAAATCAACAAACAAGTGCTGGCGAGGGTGTGGAGAAAATGGAACCCTAGTGCACTGCTGGTGGGGGTGCAGCCACTGTGGAAAGCAGCATGGAATTTCCCCAAAAACCTAAAAACGGAACTGCCTTTTGGCCTAGCAATTCCACTGCTGGGAATATACCCTAAGAATCCCTAAATACTAATTCAAAATAATGTATACACCTCGATGTTCATAGCAGTGTTATTTACAACAGCCAAGAGCTGGAAACAGCCTAAGTGCCCATCAGATGAGTGGATTAAAAAACTGGTACATTTACGTAATGGAATACTACACAGCTGAAAGAAAGAAGGAACTGCTACCTTTTGTGAAAGCATGGATGGAAGTGGAGAGTATTATGCTCAGTGAAATAAGCCAGGTGGTAAAAGAAAAATACTGTATGATCTCAGTTATAAGAGGAATCTAATGAACAAAATAAACTAGTGATCACCCTAGAACAAGAGGCATGGAAACATGGAACAGACTGACAACTGCCAGAAGGAAGGGGGCGGGGATAAGGGGGAAAAGAACGGGAAGGGGCATGGACAACGGTGTGGGGGTTGATTGTGGAAACAGGAGGTGGGTTGGGAGGAGGAGGACAAAGCGGGAAAATTCGGACAACTGTAAGAGGATAACAATAATAATAAAAAAGAAAAGAAATATAAAAATAAAAGTAAAATAGAGATATTTTTAACCCAATGCATTCTCTGTATATGTAGTATGAATACTTCATAGTTCCAAAGCTCTTTTATGTTGTAAACATTTCACATATAGTATCTTATCTATGCTTCCTCAAAGCCTTCAAAGATGATAACAGTAACAATTTCATTTTGCAAATCACAAGTCAAGACTTGAATGAGATCATATGACTTTTTCAAAGGACACACAGCCAGAAAATCTAGGACAGATGATTTCAAATTAAAAGCTCAGGAGGTAGTATAGCCTCCAGCAAAGAGTTAGGCTTTGGAATAACTGTACCTGGACAGAATGTCCACTCTTCACCTCACTTAAATGTATTGTTCCCCTGACAATCTTCAGTTCCTTTCTATGGAAACTGAGGCAGGGCAACCCACCTTACAGGTTCTTGGGCAGGCTGGAGTTAATTTGTGGAAGTGCCCAGCTCAGCATCTGGTATTTTGTGGGAGATGAATACACTGAAGCTGTTTTTTATTCTAGAATATCATGCTCTTGGTTTATGTGTACAAATCAACAGGAGCACATACACAGTAGCTGTCGAGTTATTGATTGATTTCTATGGGTTTCACAATTAGAGAGCATTCTTTTTATTTTACAGAATGTTTCTGTTTCTCTATTATGGGATGACCTGCACTTACAGAATGTAAACTCATTTGAATATTACTGAATAAAATGCTGAGTTTAGGAAATAAAAAAGAATTCTGCAAAACGGTGATATTATTCATTGTTAACAAATTCTTAAGGATTGATTCACAATTTACTTAATCAGTGCAATCATTCCCATTCATACATTACCATGAATAAATAAGATCTGAACATGCATATTAGTAAGATTAAACTTAAAAATTTAATGTCTAAAATTAGAGAAAAATAAAGTTTGCTAAAAAATAAATTCATAAGAAAGTTTTTGGTTATACTTAATTCTGAAATACACAGGTCTGAGTATTTATAGCTATTAATAAAAGAACATTTACCTTTCATATTGCTACATTTTACATTATTAAATTCTGTCATTATATGTGTGTATATCCCCCAGAAAAGTGAATTTAAAAAAATCTGACAACGAAATGCTCTCTGGTATGTTTACATACCAAATCAGTAATTGAATTGATGATTATTTGACTGCATACAACCTTACTTCTATTATTTTTATTTTGACAGAAATAAGACTCAGTGAAGCCAAATATCATTGATTACTGATATGCATATAAGTCTATGTATTATTAGATGTGCATTCATGTATAATCAGCATGTATTGATGTGTTTATCAGTATTTACATTTATGTGCATTTACATACATATGTGTCTATATGAACATATGTATGTCTCTATATATGAGGTATGTCTGGAAAAATTCCAACTATTTTTAATATAATGAGAACAGTTTGTGTGACATAGAGGTAACCTGGCAGCCAAGGAGAGGGGACTGAAATGTGCATGCACGAACAATGATGATGACTTCCCTGCATTAGTCAGTGGGGGCGTAGATGCTGCTGAATGAGCATGTGTACTGTGTGGCCATTGTATTCAAAATCACCGAGTGAGTAGAGCAATGGATCTGCATCATATTTTGTGTTAAGCTTGACCATTCCTCCACAGAAACTATTTATAAGATTCAGAAGTCCTCAGCTATGGGCAACTGGTGATTGGCAGCTTCACCATGACAACACACCTGCTTATGAATCACGTCTCATGCAGAGATTTTTGGAGAAACGTCAAATCACCCAGGCGACTCAGCCCCTCTACAGCCCAGATTGGGCACCCTGCAACTTCTGGCTTTTCCCAAAACTAAGATCACCTTTGAAAGGGAAGAGATTTCAGATAGTCGATGAGATTGAGGAAAATAGGATTCGGCAGCTCATGGTGACTGGGAGAATTGTGTGAGGTCCCAAGGTGCCTACTTTGAAGGGGACTGAGGCACCATTGTCCTATGTACAATATTTCTTGTATCTTGTATCTTTTTCGATAAATGTCTCTATTTTTCACAGTATATGGCTGGATACTTTCTGGACATAGCACTTAACGCACATGAATAAACACAATAACAGAAATAAGGTTCTGTGTAGCCAAATGAGCATCAATTCAATTCCTAGTTTGGTAAGTAAATGTATTAGCCAGTATTTGTTTTTTCAGTTTTTTAAAAATGTACTTTTTTCCTGATAATTAAATACATTTATTTCATTGATAAAGATTATTACTATATAAGGTACTTCTCCATTCACAAGCAAGAATGTTATTTGTTTTGTTTTTTTTCAAAGAAGTATACATATTTGTAACAGTAAAAAAACAAGACAACAAACAAAAGCACAACAAAATTCAAAGGCTCTTAACTAAACATCATTCCTGCCAATGTTCAATTTTTCTGTTGTCTCACGCTCACATTTTGTTCTCAAGCCCACAACATTTACTCGTGTAGAGAGCAGCTCTTGACTGTTAGGATGAAACGACGAGAGTCGCTGATAATGAGAATGATTTGCACTTGTAACCCACCAAGCAAAGTTTAACTGCGCTCAAAATATTTATACATCGTTCTCTGGGAAAAGAGAAGCTATTTTTAGAAAATTTGGCCCATGTAATCTTGTGGAAGTAATTAATTTTTTTCTGGTGCAATAACACTGGGATTTGTTCATGTCTTAACATCAAAATGCAGTGAGAAAGTTGATACCTAAGTGACACAGCTTTATCAACTTCTAACTAGTAAATGCTAAAGAATTTAATTTAAAAATGTATGGCATTTTGAAATGTCTTATATACTATTTAACACAGATTTGTGCCACTTGTGATAAATAGTTTTACTCCTATCGACAAAACAATACCAGATTTTCCTCAGGCTTTTCAGCCATTAGACAAGGAATTCTTTCATTTTAAATAGCAAGACCCACAAAACCCAAACCCTAGGAACCAAGCAGTTTAGCACTGACTTATAAAAATTAGTTTTCTATCACATCCCTTTTTCTTTTAGGCATTTTTTTCAGAGGGCTTTTTTTTTCTTCCTGATTTGATTGTACAGCAGAAGGTTAAATTCTCACATAGTGATCATTAGCAAAAATAAACAGAGCAAGTACTAAAGCTGGCTTTGCACCTACTGAATGCTGCAAGTGTCTGTACTCATTTGATATGCATCTTGCAAAGCTCGGCTGTTCCCAGAAGGCCACTCCATGAAGACTGAGAGAGCAGCGTCTGCTAGTGGTGCCTGTGAGTCACAAAGAACAGAGAGAAGCTTTATAACAGGGATGCTAGAAGGCATTGCATAATTGGGAGGCAGACGAAAACACTGGGTCTCTGCATTGTCTTGCTTTAAAAAAAGCATGCATGTGAAATTGTCATTTTGATTATTTGTGTAATGTGTATCAGGTCACACGGAGAAACCATTGCATCAGCGACATTTTCTAGGTCTTTTCATTGGCTTCATTTATGAAGCACTTCACTAAAATTGTCTCATTAATTGCTTATTGCACAGACTTATTTAAGGACACAGGGCAAAAACATGACTTCATAAGCAAACAGGGCATGCTGTTCTTGGATGGCAATAATCCTTTGGGTTTGGGTGGGTCATCCTACTTTACCTGTGGCATTCAGTGGGCACTGATTGAAGGCCAAGTCGCCTGCTGGTGTCCTTTTCCACACCATGGACATCAGATAATCCTCTGGGCATATTTCATAAGGTGCTGCAATTTAAAACAGAGGGACTTGAATTCAACAGGGTTTATTTTTTTTTTTAAATATTGGCAGTAAACAGTTCTCAAACACATTGCTCTAACTGTAGAGTGCTTTCATTTTCTTTAAAGTATATTGTTGGAGATTTCTCCATAAACAAACGAATACAAAAATACCAGATTTCATATCATTAACTCTAAAATCTTCACAGAAATGGCCTTTCTTTTGAAAGTGCTTACTGTATGGGCTTTTTAAAAAAGTCACTTGGATTTGTCTGTAAATGGAAGATTATATTCAAACATAAAAGTAAAAGAAATCTTTCTGATATAATATTTTGGAATGTTATACAATAAAATAATCTCCAATAAATTGAAAGCCATATTACAATTATTAACTGTAAATATTAAGAGTAAAGCCAAAAGGGCAAACATATATAACATGTTAATTCTTTATACAAGGGTAATGATGACAATCATACTGTAACATATAAAATCAAAGAGCAGATAAAGAGCTTCCCAGATGAGAAAAAACTAAAGGAGGTCCTCATCACCAAACCATTATTATATAAAATGGTAAAGTAACTTAAGAAAGAGAAGATCAAAACTATGAACAATAAAATGGCAATAAATACATACACATCAACAACTGAATCTAAAAAACAAACTAAGCAAACAAGAAAAACAGAGACAGAATCGTGGATATGGAGAGAGTTTTGATGGTTGCCAGGTAGAAGAGTGGTGTAGGGAAAAGGGTGAAGAGGTGAGGGGATTAAGAAGTACAAATAGGTAGTCACAGAATAGCCATGGGGATGTAAAGCACAGTATAGGAAAAGGAGTAGCCAAAGAATCTATATGTATGTCATGACCCATGGACATGAACAATGCTGTGGGGATTGGCTGAGGAACTGGGGGGTACTGGATGGAGGGGGACAAAGGGGGAAAAGCTGGGACAACTGTAATAGCATAATCAATCAAATACAATTAAAAAATTAAAACATAATAATAAGCCAATTTGATCTTTTGGCCTTATTATTTTCAAAAGCTTAATTTAATTACTGAGGAAAGAAACTTAAGGGGAATAACAACAATAACAGATGTAAACCAGAAATATTTTAATGGAAAGCCAAATAATTCATAAAAGAACAAGCTTTGTCTATATTTTGTTAAGCCTAGCACCTTTCTTCCAGATGAAAGAACATGTTGGTCCCTTCTCTAGACACACCTACTGTTGTGCTTTTCACACAGTACTGCCATTATATGTTCCAGTGTTTGTCTTCACTACTAACCTGGGATTTTGTCTGCTGCTCTCTGTATCTTGCACCTAATGGTACATCTGGCACATAGAAGTTGCTCAAAATTGAATAAGTGAATAAATTAACATATGGTTATGTAAATACCTTTAATAAATAACGACCTCAAAATAGTAAGTATCCAGTATGTACATGAATGTGACTTCCCAGAAGAAAATACCTCCTTTGCAGATAATATACTATTTAATCCAGTCTAATCATAATTCTACTGATACTAATTCTACTTCAAAATTTATGAACTCATTAGGACACATTACAGGTATTAGTAGGAGAAGACTGTAATTTGAGACATTACAATATTGAAATAATATTTCCTTTATAATTACCTAAGATAAGATGAGTGGTTTAAACATGTGGATATTTGAGAACTGAAAGTGACATTAAAGATCACATATTCCATCTCCTTACTCTTAACAGATGAGAACACCAAGGGTCAAAAGGAAGAGGCTTGCCTAAAGTGACACAGCAGAAGGAGGATCCGCAGGACTGGATTCCAGAATCCTGGCTCCCCAGTATCTCCTTTTTGACTTCCTGCATACACTTTGTGCTACCTTGAATTACTCAAGATAATCTCCCTCACACTAAGTTAATACATATATGTATTTTTTTCAAACTAGATTCTCATTGAAACACATGGGCACTTGTTTCCAACTTATGGAGTCTTTGTTTGGTGGATGGTTTAGCAACTGATTCAACCTTTACCAGCCCCATTTTCAAAAAATGTCTTCTTTTCACCCCACCAAGGACCTCCTAATGGCCAAACCTAATACACTCATCTTAGTCATTACTCACTGAGGCACTTTATACTTTGACTTGTCCTTCCTCTGTGAAAATGCGTTAAGGGTCTCAGAAAGCTATTCTTTCTCAGGCCTCCACTAAGCACTTGGACCATTCTTCCTCCATCTCATGCACCGTGTTTCCACAGAATTACCCACCTCTTATTTTTTCTTTTGTTAATCAAACGTATTAATAGCAATAAGTCAACTTTACTTCAATAAAAATAAATTATATATACATATATCTTTTTTGACATGTTAAAAATAATAGTAATATTCCGGAACCCTTATTAAGAGTCTTACGCGCCTGGAGTCATTTAATCTTTCCCAATAACCTAATAAGGCAGAAACTACCCATTTTCCAGAAGGGAAAATAGGCACAGAGAAGTGAATTAATGTCTTTCTTCAGGTTCCAAACATTCTTTTCACTACATGTTGGATTCAGAGAAAAAACCAAGGGTAGCAGAGAACAATTGGGTGGAGGAGTCGCCTTGCCAAGGAGCCCCAATGTCTCCCCCATCAGGAGCCAAGCCACGTACTCTTTTCCCTTCACCCCCTGGGCTGTTGCAGAGGCAGATGTTGGCATGGCCTCTTCCTGGGACCTAAGAGCTAGGTTTGCCACTAAGTCTGGCCTGGGAGAGGTGGTGCCAAATAGAAATGGAGTCATTATAAATCAAAATTATAAAATCATAAAATAAAACCCATTACAAAAAAAGGTAAAACTCAAGTCAGAGTAGAGATGGCCTCGTGCAGAACTCCACCTTCCAATATTACAAGAACAGAGGAGCAGAGAAATAGATTAAGGGATACAGCAGCCGTCACTAGCCAAGGATCAGCAACCACCCACTCCCACGCTGTCCACCAAGGTTAGCACGCTGGGAGCCACCTCCCCGTTGCATCTGCTGCTCAGCCCACGAGGAGCAGGATGCCCCTGGCCTTGCTACCCCATCTAGACTCCTGCCAGGTAGCCATGGAGGCCCTGGCAAGTGTCCCCTGAGCGCAGGAAGAAACGGCAAAACTCAGAGACGAGACAGAGGTGGGGAAAGTTACTACTATGATGCGAGGTGGTGTTCAGATTAATGGCAATTACAGAGAAATAGTGGGAAAGAGAAAAAGTTTGTAAATGCTGCAGCCACAGTTAGAATGTGATCAGTTGGCTTCTGATCCCACACTCTTACCTGCTATGTTGCAGTGAGGCCTTGACACATGGCCTCTATCTCAAGTTACATAGTGGTAACATATATGTATTTCTTTGGTTCAGATATCTTTCCTGGTCTTTAGGCTGACATATCCAACTGCTGAATGGCAATTTTTACTGGCTGCTTTGAAGAAATCTCAATCAATCTACATATACTTTAATTTCCACCATTTTCCTCTGTACTGCTGCTTGTTTCCCCTCCTTGTATTTCCTAATGCTGTTAATGAAAACTCCAATCTTGTATCCATAGCTAAAGCCATCAGATTTTTCATCTTCTCACCCTTCTTTTCCTCAGTCTATCAGGAGTCTACCTCCACTGCTTCCTAGGCATTTATCCTGTCCCATTTGAATTAGGGGAACAACCTTATTGGTTCATTCAGCATTTACCCGCCACGTGCCACGATCCAGAGAGAACCAATGGTGTCTGAAAGAAGCATTCCCTGCCTCATGGAATTTCAGTTATCAAGAGGAGGCATAGAGCAAACAAACATCCCATTACTTGAGTACAATTATGGTAAGCACTGCACACAGTACAGGGTGCTGTTTCAATATCAGAGGTGACGAACGAAAGAAGGCTTCCTGGAGGAAGTGATGTTTCATTGAGACCAGCTGTGTGAGGTGCAGTAAGCACACCAGGAGGAGGTAACTGTATTTGCCCCAGCCTGGAAGGAGAGAAGAGCTTGGGGAACCCAGGCCAGCGGAGCTGGATAGAAGAGAATAAGGAGAATGAAATAATGAATGGGATGGAGAAACAAGCCAAAATTAGCACCTGAAGGCCCCCGTGGGCAGCCACTGAAGGGTTCTAACAGCGATTAGCAAAAGTGGATTTTAACGTTTCGGATGTTTACTTTCTGTGGGCAAAAGAGATGGAAGAGCAGTAGGTATGGGACAACCACAGAGGAGGCCAAGGCAGTGCTTTTGTCCTGAAATCAGGATGCCCTTTGGTAGGATGACTGGACGAAAGAGGAAAAACAGTAGGTGGACACGAGGCCAGTTTAGCTGGTAGACTAAGTGATGTGGGGGACGAAGCGCTAAGGGGGCGAGGACGATGCCTGCTTTCTGAGCGGAGGAGCTGGATATACGGCAATAGTATTGTCTAGCATCTTTCCCCCTCTAATCTAATTTTCATGCCACATTGACAGACTGCTCTCTGAAATGAAGAGTAACCCCATAACTTGCTACTGAAATCCTTTCCATGGTTCTCCAGTACTGACCCGATTAGGATGACTACGCTTAGTGTGATGAAAAATGCCCTCCGGTCAGCAAGCCCTAACCTAGCATTCCAGGTATGGGTCATATTTATTCTTCTGTGCATCAGCCTTACAGAATTAATTGTCACCTTCCAAACATTCCACACCAATTCACACTTCCCTGACTTTGCAAAAGCTATACCCTCTATTTAAAATTCTCTCTGCTCTTCTTGTTTTTTTTTATTTGTTAATTTTAAATTCCTATTAATCTTTAAAAGACATATTAAATGGTAATATTCTCTGGGAAGCCTCCCTTAATACCTTAGTCAGTGAATATACAAATATTATGGGTCTTTTCACAATGGATTGAAAATATTTGGTTAAATGCTTTGGTTATGTGTGTGAAACTCTCCAAATCCCATATTTTGCTGTTTAGAAGACGAATCATGCTTTCCTTCATTTCTTTTTAATCTGCTATAATGAACTTCCCTGGTGTCTAACATATATAGGTATTCAACACACATTTTATTAAGTAAAT